GTTCACGCTTAATTGCTTTAGGGTCCAAACAGATCCTCAACTTCTCTGAATGTGGCTTCAGTCGATTACTATTGAGTTAACCCAATCTGTTGGTTCATCCACTTCCTTGATAACTCCTTGCTTAAGCATTTCGTCCAAAGCATTCTTCAACCCATCTCGTGTAGAGCTACTGGTACTCTTCTTGGAGCATCAACAACTGGATTCACTGTTGGGTCCACTTCAATATGATAAGGTTTGTCCAAACATCCTATCCCTGTAAACACTTGTGAAAATTCAGATTCAAGGTCACAAACATTTACATTTAGCACTTTGATCAACTTTAAGTCCACTGATGTCCTGTAACTGAGCACTGGAATTTGTTTTGTGTCAACTACATAAAATTCTAACTCATTGTTATCATAAGGTACACTACACTTCCCAATACATTAAATAATGTCATTGCTGTAACTTGTCAAAATGGCATTAGTTTTCTTCACGGGAATATCTTGATAACCATCCATTTTCTTGAAAGCTTGCAAGGTGATTATGTTTGCTTGAGAGCCTGTGTCTATCTTCAACTTGATATTTGTACCCTGAATTGGCAAAGTGGCATAACAAGCTTCTCCCTGTGTTTCTGTCTCAAATGAAAAGAACTTCTTCTTTGTCTGAACAATTAGGCTGAATGTTAATGTCTTCAACACCTAACACTTTCTTTGATTAGCAACACTTCTGAAAATTGTGTAATTTTTTGCATCTATGACAAGTTTTCCCATATGCTGGACACTGTCTAACTCCAAGTTTATTCCCACAATTTCTACAGAGAAAAGTAGCTGGCTTTCTATCAGATTGTTCCTTTAAGTTTCCTTTGTCATTCTTGTTCTTATTTCTGCTCTTTCTCCTAACCCCATGAACATCTTGTGTTTCTTCATGTAGATTTCTGACTTGCTTCTTTGACTCCTCATCAGCTCGACAAATATTGATAGCTTTCTCTAGTGTTAGGTTATGTTCTCTCAACAATCTCTCTCGAATACTGTCTGAGTTGTTCCCACACACTGTTCTATCTCGTATGAGTTCATTTTCCAAAGTTCCATAGTTACATCCTCTAGCTATCAGTTTCAAAGCTGCTACAAAATGTTCAATGTTTTCATCTTTGCCTAGAATTAAAGTGTTAAACTTGTGCCTTTCTACAATGATATTTTGCCGAGGTGTCAGTAACTTTCAAATTTATCAAACAGTGGTACTATCTTTCCCTGTTCACTTTCTGAGAAAGTAAATGAATTGTACACATCTCTCCCCTCTGAACCAATAAGATACAAAAATGCCTCACAAACATCTTCTTCCGGTTTTCCTTTTAGACTCAAATTCATATAGAGTTGCATAGTATGCTTCCATCCCCTCCATCCTTCAGCTAATCTGCCATCAGCCACATCAAAATCCAACTCTGGTGGTGGATGTAAATTTTCCATACTTTTACATGAAAACTATTGTTACAGGCGAAAATGTCACCTTCCCAATTTGTACTTGGCGTCAAAACTTCACAACACTCAAATAACCATGTAGTAAATTACCTACATTTACGAACAACTGATACTACCTCTGAGTGTCACGTCTTCGTGTAGACTACCACTGTTCATGCACGGTCATTGGACACGCCACATGTGAGTGAATGCGACAGTTTCTGACCCGATAATTGGAATTCCTCACACTTGGACTCGAGTTTGCAGTCGTAGGTCGATAACTTCATGCTTTATAGCGCCGCTCCTAACACCATGTCGTATTTAGCAGACAGGACATCCAGGCCTGAGTCCCAGACTCAGAGGGAAAACTCAACACATGTTTCGGCCATGACTTTTTACTGCCAACTGGTTGTTCCTTACAGGTACGACTGCACAGTCCACTAGTTGTGCTATCCATACGACTTATTACAGTTCCGGTTTAATGCGACCCCAAATGAACTTTATCAAACACGACAGTGCAAACACCATCATCAATATTGTCAACATGTTCACCATTATCTTTAGTACAATCAGGAACTGAGGAGAGTGTGGCAATACAATTGACCTGTTTGGTTTCTAACCTGTCATGGTATTTCTTAATCATGTTTACATGACACAACCTCCTTTGCTTACGACGGCCAGGCATCAGGACGACATAGTCTGTGTCGCTAACCTTTTTGTCAACAACATATGGACCTTGATATCTAGCTCTGTGTGGTTGACCAGGAATGGTAAGTAAGACTAACACTTTCTCACCACGAATAAAATTTCTCTGTTGACTTTGTCATAGTTTAACTTAACATCCTCACCCTGTGCACTAATAAGCTGCTCTCTGGAAAGAATGTGATCACCACCTGACAAACTATCAGACTTATCAAGAAGACCTGAAGAGTTACTACTCTTTGATAATAAGTCATCAGCCTCTACCTCACAAAAAGAATGATCCATGAAAGTATCTGACAAATCATAAATGGTATCATTCTGCAAAGAAGTCTTGGAAGAAATGCCTTTCGACACTGAATGAGTCACTGCACAAGAAGGAAAAATACCCAGAAATTCACCCTCCAACTTTTCTGTACTAACTGAACTCTGCAGAGAAACAGTGACAATGGGATCAGCACCAACTTTGGCCCCCATAAGATCATTACCGATCAACAAATCAACACCCGGAACCAGAAGAGAGTCAAGAACACCAACTTTCACCTTACCAGAAATCAGATCTGAAGTCAAATTCACAAAATGGAGAGGAGCAGAAGAATTGCCACCTATACCCTGAAGCAAAATATCTGAGTTCTCTGAAGACTCATCAGAAAAAGGCAAAATATCCTTCAAAATCAGAGATTGAAGAGCTCCAGTATCCCTCAAGATAATAATGGGGTAGAATTATCTCCCATAAGCAACACAGAACCTTTAGAAACAAAGGGCAAATACTCCATCCGAACTACAGAATCTGGAGACTTACTCTCACAAATAAAACTCTCCTCAGAACCACCTGGAAAGAAAGGCTTAGGTGCGATAGACACAAAAGCATTTGGGGAACCTGCAGCCTGATTTTTATCACTGGAGTTTGTACCATGCAGAAATCAAATGACCTAGCTTCTTACAATATGCACAAACTGAATCAGAACCACTGGAAGTCTTAGGCTTAGACTGAAAAGAATGTGACTGCTTGTCAGGAGAATTTGAACCTGTTCTAACACCATTGTAACCTGCATGTCCTGAAGTCTTACCCGGGGAAAAGCCCTTTTGGCCAGAAAACTTGGTATAACCCGGAGACCTAAAAGAACTCTTGTGAGTCAAACAATAATAATCTGCCAACATCGCTGCCTCATGTAAGTCATCAACCTTATGTTCATCCAAATAAGTCTTGAGATCAGAATGAACAATCTGCTTGAAATCCTCCATCAAAACTAACTGTCTCAAACCATCAAAATCTGTGACTTCCTTAGACCCACACCATCTGTCAAACAAAGTTTCCTTTTCTCTTGCAAATTCTACAAAAGTCTCATTGTCCCTTTTATGAGCATTTCTGAACTTCTAACGATAAGCCTCAGGCACTAACTCATAAGCTTTATAAAGTGTCTTTTTGACAAGATCATAGTCTGAGCTTTGCTGTATCGACAAGGCCAAATAAGCATCCTGAGCTTTACCCTTCAAAACAGTTTGCAGTAGCATAGTACATGACTCCTTAGGCCACTTGAGGTTTAAAGCAACTTTTTCAAAATGTAGAATGTATTTGTCTACTTCTTTCTCATTAAAAGGGGGTACCAGTCATGCGTGCCTTGCAATGTCAAAAGAGGAACAATTTGAGGGAGGAGAAGGGTTTTCAAGCTTTTTCAGTTCAATTTCTCTGTCAATTTCAAATTTTCTCAATTCTATTTCTATTTCTTGCCTCTTTAATTCTTCCTGTTTTCTATTTTCTTCTTTTTGAATTTGTAACTGAATTTCTATTTTTTTCATTTCCAATTGGTCTGAACATTCTTCTTCAACCATTCCCAAACTTCATGTCCAAAAAGTCCCTCATCAATATAGTGATTCAACACAATTTTCAAAATCTGAAATTTCCTCATAGCAGGGTTGGCCTCAAGTTTGAAATGTGCAGAAATTTGCAATAAATCTGATTTGCGCAATTCACTGACTGTCTCAGTTGACTTAAGAAACTTCCCAAGTTTAAACACCATTTTGCTGTTTTCACAATTAACTTGTTCAAAATTGCAGAAATTTGAAAGACATTTCACAATAGGTCTCAATGTCATTTGAATTCGCTCCCGGACGAGCCCCCAATTTTGTTACAGTTACGGACAAGTCTAAAATATTCAATTATATATTGAACAAACAATGAGCAAGCTACAATGAATGACAATACAGATATTAGTACAATGCAATTGAGTCACAAATCTAAAGTAATGGGTCACAAATATAAAATATTAACTCAGTAGAGTCTTGACATTTACAGTGAGAGCAGATATACTAATTGAAGGTTGTTTACAATGAGAGCCATCAGGCACGCACTGTCAGTCTTGAATGTAGGGTCAGACGATGGCGATGACACAACTCCAGTGATATAATAAAGTTGCGTGTAAGTCTGGGTGTGTATATCAACACAACAACCAGCCTTTATATATACTGACACAGTGTGTAGAACATTCGAGCAAAGCGTGGCTGTATCATTATCAACTCAGAACATTCGCAAACACCCATGGAGAGGCAGAAGTCAACAAGATAAACAAAAGATTGCCAAGGGCAGGTAATCCAGAAGTACTAACAAATAGGCGTGCCGCTACAAAATACTATTACCATTGAACATATATGATGTGAGATGTGACCCACAACCCACACTCAAAAATTTAAACATTGTGACCCATAATAATTATCACTGAATCAATGATATGACAAATTACAACAAAAAAAAAACACTTGTAACAATACTATATTGAACAATGAGCAAGCTACAATGAATGACAATACAGATTTCTAGTAAAATGACAAGAGGGTAATATTTGTATGGAGTGGTAACATACTGACCTCAAATGAGTCTTGACGTGGTGGTGGTCTGAGACTACCTCCCTTCTTTGAAGATCTGGTGTTTTTCACTTTGCTGAAGATACCTTGTTTTGTACCAAGTGATGTCTCCTCAATAGTATCTCTACCTTTCCAAGAATTAGCTAAGCTTGTGTCTTCTTTCTGTTGAGGTTTGCTGATGTCTGAAGATGTACCTTTAATCTCCACTTCACCAACTTGACCGTTGTTTTTAATTTTACAGAGATATGTAGCGGGGACCCATCCCTCCGAAACTTGATGTCTGTTATACAGAAAACAGATAGTGCAAGAGCACTGCAGCAACATGTTGACAAAAAATCATTTCACTTACAGCAAACGACAACAAAATACATTCATATAATTTCAACATAAATATATAGAAATTGAAACTATCAAATATCATTTTAGTTTGTGTACTCACTGGCAAAAGTAACTGTGAGTTGGAGGTTTTCACCACAGGGATTCGAATCACTGTTTGGACAATAACTTTTAAAAATAAAAATTTAGACAATTAAAAAGATTGGAAAAAATAGATAGCATATTCTCTAGCGGCTGGGAGTATAGCATGTTATGAATGTCCAGCTGATGATCCCTGCAAAGTAACAAAGTGTGCCATAGCTTTGCCAGGAGGGCTCAGAATCAAAGACTGCCCTGGTCATGCTGTCCAGGTAGTCATGTAAAATCCGGACTGTTTCTCCAGCTATCTCAAGATTAACTGAGGAGGGGTCCTCCGCTGTAGTGGGTGGTAACATTTTTCTGACACCCAAGATGAACCAGTAACTGAAGCCTTGAATGTTGTTGATAGTGTGTACACCTCATCTACAGACTCATCCAGGTCTCAGTGTTTTCTTCAATAGAAATATGCTCTGGGAGTTTACAGCAAATCCCTGGAAGCCTGTGTTGAGTGAGGGCAACAAAGATTCTTTCCCCAGCAGTGCAGAACGGCCTAGACGGCCTGGATACTTTAAAGAGCTGATACTGTGATTCCAGTCCTTTGAGATCTTAGTTTGGACAGATGACTGTGGTACTTTACGTTTTGGTCTAGTCTTGAATAAAGAGGCCTCTGAATGCTGAATCTATGGCGCAAACTCCTTCTGCTCTGGCAACGGCATTATGGCATGCAAGAAAAGGACCTCAAGGGTATCAATCTTATCTGCCAAAGTGTAGCTAATTGCATTGAGATCTGTGGTATCCACTGCTAAACCCAGTGATTCTAACTATGGATCCAGTAGAATGCCCTGATCTGGCATGCCAATCCAGTAGGTTAGCTGGACGATGGTGTGAAGACTCTCTATGGTTGGAGCTGTTAGAGGCTCTGCTGCTCACTTTGCCCATGCTGTCCCTGCGTCTGCTAATAACGGTTAGCTCCTTGTGTGTACTGGTAAGGCCGTGCAGGTATATCCATCACTGGTGCGATCCAATTTGTCCGGCTAGTGGTTCTGGTCGATCGGTCGTTGAACTCTCAACAGACCATGCAGCTGGCACTGTCTATCTAACACCTCCGAAGTGGTTTCTCAGCCATTTTCCTGTCTTGACATTTTTAACTGCCATTGCGTATGTCTCAAATCTATATAGTTAGTGCCTTTAGTTTTACCCATTGTAGAATCAAAACAGAAGTAAAAAAACTGAGAAATTTAGACAAATTTAAGAAATTACAAGTAAGCTCAATTTGTTTAATTTTTACGTTGTAATTTTTAATGTATGTATTTAACATGTAACACTTACCTGACAAACCACCAGCCAACAAGGTTCTTCTCCACAACTTCAACAACAGAACCTCGGTCTAAACACAGTTCATCTTCTCTTTCAGTTTGGAATGGTTCGATACAGATATACTTCCATTCTGTCATGACACAAAAAGTTAAAATTGTAAAATTTACAATAAATTGTATATTTATAATACTTATCCTATCTTATGTAGAGCATTTTCCCTTGTTCTTCCACCTTTGAGTGGAAATGACTTTGGCAATAGTTTCCAAACTCTAATATTACCTTTCAGAGGCACCCCCGTGGTAATAGAAAACTCAATGTAATTCATACCCAGCTAAGATATTCAAATAGTAGATTAAATGATGATCTATATAGGATTGGTCTTATAGAGAACACTGAATGTAATTGTAAATTTACCTGTAAAAATTCTCATCATTATTTCATAAAATGTTCTTTGTATTCTAATATCAGACAGGAAATGTTTCAAAATATTAGCAGAATTTGTAGCATTAGAGCACCAACAAACCTAGAGGTACTATTAAATGGCAGTGCAGATCTTCTGTACAGTGACAATATTCAGATTTTAAAGAAGTTTAAATATACATATCAAACTCCAAAGGTTCAGTAATTGGATATAATGTTTATGATCTAAATAATTCATGTATTCAATGTATTACTTTATTTTAACTGTCTTATTCTCCTTTTGTTTATATCTTTCTATCCCTGTTCATATAGTTTGTTTCACTTTTGCATGTAAGCTCAGTAAATAGGAGAGGGTTTCACTAAGTTGAAATAACTTGTACCCAATCCATTCTCTTGAATAAATATGTTTAAATCAAATCAACACCCCTGACCAGCTGTTGTTGTAGACAATCACAAGAAGTCTGTGCTAAGGATGCATTTTGCTCTTGGCTGACCATGTGACTCCCTACTGAACTCATTCTCTCCTTTGGAACCAGATACAGTCTTGTATTGTGTATAATGGGGTGTCCATCGTGTGAGATAGGACAAGTATTATAAAAATAAACTTTACTGTAAAATTTTCAAATCATATTTATTTCATGATCTCCTGCCATATTATTGGAAAAGGACAATGACAATGACAAAGGTAAGGGACGGGGAAATTTGGATTTTGAACTGGTCCCAGAATCTAAGGATGAGATAACTGCCTCCCACAGACACAGATACCGTGGTAAGGTGGAACAGTTCGGTATCTCTCCTAAAAGTTTTGCAACTCATATATCATGACCTCCTTCACAGTCATGCAGTTGAGGTATTCATGAGAGGAAGTACTGAATTCGCATAGAACAACATTCCTGCATGCCAATACTCAACCTAACATGATTGCTGGTGAGAGTAGAGGTCAGTGGGTATCATGATCAGTAGATGCTGATACACAACCCCCATCTGGTGTTGGTGTTGGTGCCGATAACATGACTCTATCCATTAACAGATGATTTGATGCAAACCACAGATCACAAAAGTTGATCATTGTAAGCAAATAAGGAGCAATAATATTCAAATCAATCAAAGATTAACAGAATTCTACTTGTAATTACAAGACATCAAACTGACTTGTGACCTTGTCCTGTGTAGATGATTTTTATCTGTGCCAACAAAAAAGGGCCCAACCAAACTGGTGCAAATCCTGCACAATAGCGCCTGTTGGTAGTGTGACTCGAAGGTTGTGTTAGACTTTCAAAAGCAGTAAACAATGAAAGACAGCGATGAACATAATCCAGAAGGAGATGGTCATTGATGCCACTGTAGCAAGTCTTGAGTGTAACATGCTCAAAATCGGTTTTCTCCTAAATTGTTCACAATCTGCTGATGCAAGATCATTCAGAACCACAGAGAGATCCAAAGATGGAGAGCTAGGTGCAAAAATCTAGTTATTTGTGACCACTGGTACAAGACTGCCGGGCACATCGAAAGCCTTCAGCTTCATTGAAACTGGAAGATGCTGTAGATTTTCAGACACAACTTGTGAAGCAGCTATAGTTAGGGTACGTTTAAACACTCCTCAAACATCTTCCACTTGTTATCATAGAGGGAACAACTGGACATAGAATGAGGTGAAGCAAACGCTTTATCAACTCTTGTGGAATAGCCTTTGCACCAAAAGTGCCAAAAGTAACATCTGTGGAGACCAATGGAGCTGGTCAGAGTGTGAATAAACCAACAGGTTGTCCCTTGGTAGTAGAACCAGAGGACGGACTTCTCAGGAGACCACCAATGCATCATGATACCACTCTAATAGGTCTGGAATAGGAAATACAAACATCAGAAGATGGGTAGGGAACTGAGACGCAAAGAGATTCACCTGAACCACAGATAAAGATCTGTAGATGAAGTATCCATTCGGTTGGAGATAGTTGAATCCATCCTGTACCAGACTAGTGTCATGTTGTCTGCCCAAAGTCATGAGGCTGGTTGAATGAAGTTTGATACTGCTAGAAACACGACTTCGTCTTTCATGTCATTAATGTGGAGGGACTGATGGTTGTTGACCACAGCCCTACCATGTTTCATCAAGAAGATGAGTGCCCCAACTTTTCAAGGAAGCATCCACAAGGTGATGGGGCCATACAAACTCTGTCACAGATGTTTGACTCCAGCAGCCACCACTGAGATGCTGATGTAGAGACATTGGCAGCAGAATCTTGAAATGAAGATCATCTGCCTGTAGAAATAGTTGCCCTCTGAGAGTGAGAGCCTAGGCAGGCTTCAGAAGACCCAGAAAGACTTGCCACTCTCACATGGTCCTCAACTGTCAGAGTGCCAGTGGAACTAAATGCTGTCTCTTGGACCATCTACCCAAATCAAGTGGTGAAAACTGCCCCAATTAACTGGAGCCATTGAGACAAAACTAGTTCCGACTTTTTTATGTTGACAATCCACTTGAGTTGATACACTAACTGGGAGGTGAAATGTAATTTAGCATCTGAATGAGTCACGATGTGATCATCTGTGATGAAGGAACCGTATGATGGGTTTCTTGAGGCAGGCAAATAGCCATAAGGCTGTGGAAATGCCAAACTGGAAAACTTTCCACTGGTAATGAATGTCCTGGAAGACAAAGCAAAAATAGGTGTGTTGATAGTGATCTTGAAGGTCTGGGAGCCAGCAACTTGACTTGCCATAGGGCCTGTTTCTTCAACCATGCCTTAGTGGCATCTTCAGTGACTTTCCGGGCTTCGGCAAACTTGGGGATGGTGCCTGTGCCTTTCCAATATCCCAGTATCCAATAGCAAATTTTATCCACTATTTATTCATGATACTTTCCCTTTAATACAACTGTGTCCATAAGTCGTGTCACCATTATGAGCAATCCATCTTTTCATGTCCATGGGTGACAGTGATGTTTTGTTTAACCTTATCCCGTATATCCTATGCTTATCACTTCTCAATGCATTCATTTCATGTTTGAACGTTCATTTCTTGAACAGGGCCTCTGAATTGGTGATGTTTGATTTATTGTTTCACCACATATTTCTTCACGCCTTTCACCTTTCTGATTTTACCGCTGTCAGCTTTCTTGATGAAATACATTTTAGGCCTTAAGCCAACATACTCCTCAATCAGGGTCTTGAAGCATTCATGTTTCATTTTTCGAAGTGATTTTTTGTTCACTTGGCTGTGTAGGGCATGGTCTGGGGGATAATCGTTCATATCATACAGGTGGATGTGTTTCACCATGTCCTCGTACATGTCCTCCGTACAAATTTCTAAGAGCAACGAATTGGTGTCGGTATACAACAATTCACATCCATCACAGTATTGCTTCTAGAGTTCATTGTAGTAAAAGTCGTACATTAACTGTTTGGATAAGTTGAGAATACTCATCTCCACGTAGACCAGTCAGTTGAATTTGATGTGACTTTTGTTCCTGTGCAATGCCACCCAGTCATTGTTGAATATTTTACTTCTATTAAAGGCAGGGCTCGCTATTAAGTTTTTCTTCCTCATTCGATCTAGCTAACTTCCCATTCACACGTTTTCTTAAATTTTCCATAGTTTTACCAAAGACGGAGCTGTTCATGAGTTCAAAGAGATTTTTTTCAAAATCACTGGTAGCCCGCTTTCATAAATCCGTGTTCAGCCTGATGTAAAGCTCCATCCAAGGACTTTGATCAAACTCGAGAACCCTACGTATTTTATTCAGCTTCATTCCCAACGCCAGATACAACTGCAGATTACGATAATGTACAATGTATTTTTTCTTATCCATCAAGTTGGGTACGAGTTTTTCCACCTGAGCTACCTAGCCACCTGAGCTAACTAGTTTTGTTAATAATCACACATCAAGTCTTTATTCACCATCAACCTCTCAGGAGCTAGTGCATAACTGTTGTGGGATTGATGTATTTCTACGGGATAGTCCAAGTCCACTCTGAGTATGTACTCTTTGTTTGAATCTTTAGGGACACTCATGATATCGATGTCATGCTGCACCCACTCAAACTTTCCAGTGGGTTAAGGCTGATTCATGGCCCAGCCGTGCAGATTATTGGAATTGAGATAGAATATATGGTTGGCTGTTTAGTCGATTCATAGCCTTTCATATATTTATTATTAGCTTTGGCATGTTGCTTAGCAACCATCGAAAACCCACCTCTCAGATCTTTCTCAATGAACAGATGCATATGGTTATCCGTCAAAAGTTCCAATTACACAACGATCATTTTTAACAAGGCATCCCAAGAGAGACCAGGACCTGAGAATTACCATGCTGGTCAAGGCTCTATTGTTTCAAGCAGGTCTATCAGATGATTTCGATTACATCAGCGAGCAGTAATACATCTGTTTTCAAGTAGAAATCGTGGTAGTCGTTTAAATTCTGACAGCCTAGCTTCAGGCATGCAGTCTAGTTTCAGGGCAGTTATGTCTGATCCGGTTAAGTGACTATAAAAGCAGTCGATGAGAGGTAATTGTGTTTCGGTGAATCTAGACCAATCATCCATGTACTTCTAGAAATAAACACCCTTCCTTAGCAATAACGGTTGGGTGGACACTTCGGTGTATTCATTTGTGATAGCGAAGGCATCTGGATTGTCTGCCTTCACTAAACTGTCGCGGGATGATAGCATAAACTGGGCGCTGCCTATGAATTTCGGACCGGTCTGTTGTACG